TCATTGTGGCTCCAAAAATACGTATTTTGTGCCAACTCAGAATTGTTAACGTGGGGCAGAGGGATCCTCCTCCCCTGCTCTCACAGGCGTTTCTGTAGCTGATTTTTTGGCTAAGGGCGATAATAGGAAAAAGTATAGTTGAGCCAAAACCTACAAGTGTTACTGATTTAAAATAACTCACATATTTTTAAATATTAAGTGAACTACGTTAAACTGAACTATGTAAATACCTGATGCTGAATCTTTGCATAATTGTTTCCAAGAGGTATTTTTGCTATGAGGTATTAAAACTCAAAGAACTGCATTATTCCCTTTGAGATGATCTGTACTCTGGCTGTCATACATCTCTTGACTTGTTTCCTCTTTGCTGTAGATGCACATACATACAGATCTATGTATGTGTTTTTAAAACAGACGGTTTAATGTGGTGGAGTTGTACAGTCACACAGTTTAGGGCTTTGTAAAATATGTAATTTTAAGAATGTCAGTGTGGTTCTTAGCGAATTTTATAAACACTTTTCTGAATCTATCCGCACTTCCCATCCTAAGAGAAACTGCACATATTTCAGTGATTGTTCCACTGGTTACATCTTTGTCTGCCATTTGTTTTGAATTGATGTAATCTTGATACTACTAAAATTTCAAGGGCTGTTGACGTGTTTCACGTAGCCTAGGATTGCCTGTTAGCCAAATGTATGATCATGCATCAACAGTACTCAGTAGCCTTACTGTTCTGCCTAAAGCCTAGCTAATTTATTTGATATTCCCTCTTTAAAGAGAGGTCCTTGGAAGGAGCAGCATAGTTTAGGATGCTCCTTCTCTTTAAAGGGAAACTCAGAATTGAATAGCAGTACTTGTTGATCAGTGATGTTATTGTAGCCAAAGGATGCATGGGTGGTTACTAGGAAGTTTTTGCTTCAAGTTTCTTGATGAAATGTCGTGTTCTACAGAGCTGTGTGAAGAGTGTAGTTTTTTATTCTGAAATGCACTTGTACACTTTATTTGAAAGGTCTGAATGGATCATGAATACGTTTAAGAAATAAATGATACGTCACACGTTTTCACGTCTTGTCTCAGATGACTTTGATGTAACGGGGCGGTGGTGAAGGTGTGTTCTTTGTGGAGTGGGTGGGTTTCTCCTCTCATCTTTACTGTTCTCAGTAGTCTGGTTTTAACGTAATCACAAGAGCAGGACAACCTTCCATTGTGCACTGCACGTCTACGTGTTACCCATTTGTGATGTGGGGAGCTGAAGGCAAACTCCTCTCTGTATTTTTCCTGTGGGAAACTTGAGCCCTAAAAGGAAATGAACACAGCTAAAGGGCTGGATATCACAAGGGATTCACTTTTATTTTTAGAATTGCTCTATATTGCCATATTTGGACTGAAAGTATGCTGTATCAGTGCACTATTGTATCAGACTGCAGGTGTTTCTCTAAACCATTCATTTTATTTCCACGAATCCCTCTATTTATTTGTGAACGTTCTCTGGGTAACACTTCTGTTCTCAGGGCAGCATATCTCGTGAGAAGCTAACACGCCTGTTGCTTTGAAAGTGGCTTTCGTAGTGCTTCCTGAAGGTCTGAGTACTGGGTGTAATTCTCTGTGCTAAATCCTCTCACACTGCTGTGGTCCAAGGCAGGTGCAGGGATGTGCTCTGGGTAAAAGTCAGTATTAATCCTGCCTATCAAAAGTAATCTTGGGAACACCCTTAACCTGCAAAATAAATAAATTTGGTGACGTAGTGTCATACAAACATTAAAAATAGCTACCAAGTGACCTTTCAGTACTTCAGAATGTATGTGAAATGTGCAGATCTTATCAGAACCACTTGCCCTTAGTGTGTAATGCTGTCCTGTCTGTACAAGTTTCAGGCAGCTTTGGCTTTTTCTGCTCCTTGCGGAGCAGACTGCTGGAAGCTGTGAGCTGACTCGCTGCTCTCTTCAGTGCCTTGCCTGTGCCCTGCAGCAACGTGCCTTGTGCTGGTCAGACCCCAAATGAAGCGTGTAGCGTTTGCTGACTGATGGAATCTCCAGACCTTTCTTCTCACAGTCATTTCTGACTGTATGACAAAACCATTGCAAAGTCGCTGGAACCTCCCTGATTAACTGCAGTGTGAAAGTGGATTCCATGGTGACAAGAGTGAGACTTTTGCAGAGTTTGAGTTTTGTTTTCTTATGAGGATGGTGTTTGAATTCAAATTTGTGTCAGCCCTGTGAAGAGGTGCTGTCAACTCCAGCTCTTCCAGGTCTTTAAAATGTGGCTGAACGTACAGAAAACACTTCCAATATATCTCAGTCTCAATTTCAAGGCATTGGTCAAGACTGCAGCTTCATTTGCACATCCTGGGATAATTCTCTCAGGAAGGATCATAAACATGTTAAACTTTGGAGAAAAGCACAAGGAATATGTCCTTTAAGTGTATCCATCTTAGCAGGTGGGAACCAGTATGTTTTTTTAGGAAAGCTGATAAAGTAGATGGGCTTTTATCTGCTAGACTGCATCCTAGTGTCCATAATTACTCTCGTAGTTTCTTTTTGATTCAGCAGGAGAGGAAGTTTTTAGTGTAACTCCACTAATGTTTTAAAGTGCACAACAAAGGGGAAGGAGAGGTATGCTGTTAGTCTGAGCATCCACATTTTCCTGCTTTCCTTTGGAGCAGTGAACTCATGTGAGAATTTTAATCTTTATTGCGCTTGCCTCAGTTCTCATGGCTGTTTTCCATTCTGTTTTCTTTATTACTTTCTTTTTCTTCCTGTCATTCTTAGCTTTCTATTTTTCAATCCCAGTTTGTGAAGGGTGTGGGTTCAGAAGGGTTTCCTTCAGTTCCCAGTCCCCTGAAAGCATGAGAAATTGCCCATTGAGCCAATTCTCACAGCAAGGTATAAAAATAGGAGTTAAGAAAAGGTTGCACAATGCTCGGATTGCAGCAGTTTGTACTAATGGAGAGATTTCAAAGCCGGTTTGAAAAGCATTTTTAAACCTTATCATTTCCGCTAATTTTTCTCTCACTAAGCTGTGTTTCAGCTGCAGGAACTAGCCTTACAGATTGCTTGAAGAGTTGCACTGAAACACAGGAGTCGAGTGCTGAACAAGTCACGCAAAGCCAGAGAGGGACTGCTGATTATTCTCTTTAGGCATAATGACAGCGAAGTCTGTCCTGTAAGTTTCCAACCAGATGCTTTTGCTTCTGCTATTAAATAAGCAAATTAAAAGGCAAGTGAATTTAAGATTATTTTCTGTAATCTATGCCATTACAGCAGAACACAGGTAACATTCTGGAAATCCAATTGTTCAGTACCACAAATTGCTGTTGGCAGTGAACAGTACCTGCATTCTTGCATAGCAGGGTACTTCACTGTAATTCAGTCTTGCAGCCTTCCAAAAAATTGGTTGTGATCAGGAAGACCTTATTCAAAAAGTTCTCAGAATTCATTTCTGAGCTTTCTGGGCTCTCAGGTGGTGTGTAGGAAAAGTCCTCTTTGATAGTGGAAAAAGGAACCATGGTAGGCAAAGGAAACATCTGCAGACAAATAGAGGGCTTCTGTTTCTGTGTTACTACTGACATCCTGGCCTCTCCTTCCCATTTGGTGGTGCTCACAAACCTGTGTCTTCTATCCATGCTGCAGGTCCCCGAGCCCCACACACAGCTGTGCTGGTGCCAGCTCTGCTCTGAGGGATGCCACTGGCTCCCAGCCACCACTGCTCACAGCTCTTCGAGCCCAACAGGTTGTTGTCCAGTTTTCAAAGGATATCCAGGTCTCCATGCAGCTTGATCAAGTCTGGCTTAAGCATCTACAGTAGGAATAGTTTGCAAAGTGAACTGAATGAACTGGATGAGATGGATCAAAACAGCTCTCTGCCATGTTTAATATTGACAGAGACCTTAGAAGACCCCACTATGGGAATGCCACCTGCTTGCTTTCCCCCTCTGAGCCTGAATCTGTCCTAGATGGCACTTCAGGCTAAGCTGGACATTGTTCACAAATGCTTATAGCTGCACATGGTGTGTCTGACACAGACCTAAAAAAAAGTTTCCATATCCTTGCCCATCCTGTGCAATACTGACAAATCCCATTAGAGCTGGCTGTTTGATGCCAGTCTTGCCCACTGATTTCAGGGATATCAAGTGGTATTCAAACTGGATTACCATTGGGAGAAAAAGCCTACCTTTCCCTTTTTATTGCACTGAATTATTATGCTTTGTCAAACTCTTTTAATCTCTTCTAGGAGTTTTCACTACTTCTTGTGTCGGAATTGATGCAGACTCGCACAGTATTTCTTCCAATTACCTTTTCAATCTGTTGTTCAAACTTAATGTTTTTTTTAATTGTATGCTATCTGTTGTGGTGCAGCTTTCTAAGCACTTTAGACATCTGAAAATGATTGCATCTGAGAAATGTAGAGAACAAAGTTCCATCTTCCTGACGCTGAACTGCCCTGCTCCTATAGGCAGCCATCCCTGCATTTTATTATGTTTTGCTGTATGCTGCTCTTACACAATTTCCTACTTCTGAATTGCTTAATTTTATGGAAGGAATGGAGAGTGGTTTCACTAGCTGAAGCATTTAGGAGAACGAATGAAAGAACTTAGGACAGCATTATACAGCTGCTTACAATTGTTCGTTACCCTCCGCAGTTTAAGATAAATGAAATGTGACCAGGCAGCATTGCCTTTGGAAGACTCCAAGGGAAGGCTGCTGTCTGCATTGCAATGTCCCGGAATGCTTTTGTGTGTGTGTGTGCATGTGCTTTTTCTGCCACTCACTGACTGTTCCCAGATGTGCTTAGGTAACCAAATCTATCAAGATTGTGATCTGGAGCTGCCAGCCTGCAGGCAGTCTGTTCTGGTTGAGTAGACTGTATTTGTTAAATTTAGAACAGTGCGCAGAACACGATGTCAATCCCTCAACTCTCAGCCCTCGCATATAGTAATTTATTCTCTTCTGACGTGTTTTAGTTTATACTACCTCAATTTTTGTTTTTACTTTTTCTAATAGGAGTCTCCACAAGACAGTGCCATCACTCGAGACATCAACCGAACGTTTCCTGCTCATGATTATTTTAAAGATACTGGAGGAGATGGTCAGGACTCCCTGTACAAAATATGCAAGGTATTCTTTACATTCTTATTCTGGTAACTAATGTTTAAAATCATTGACAGATGTATCTTTGTTACCTGAGAAGAACGTGTGGATATTAGAATTAGTTCACTGTATCTTGGAGGCGGACTCTGCCTCGTTCTTCACTGCAGTTGTTTACCTGGTTACAGTGCCATTCAGAAGGTGTTCTGGAGTGGTAAGCCCTCCGGATTCTTGAGCACTAAGTTGTTTAGTACAGAAACTTCACATGATTCCAGATGCGTCAGCCTGGATCAAGGCTGAGGGGAGGAGGTGTGCTTCAGTTTAGAAATTGTCATTTTTTCCCCTTGTATCCAAAGATGGAATGTGGAGAGAGGGGCACAACAGATCCTCAGCTAAAGGCTAAAATGCAGTGAGAGAGAAATGGGATCCATCCCTGTGGTAGCAGGAAGGCTGCTCATCCCATTTAGTGTAGCTGGATAGAGATTGAAATAGAAACCTGTGTGTGTTTGTGACAGGCCCCCTTACCAACACTTCTGCAGTTCAGTCTTATAACAGAAGTCGCTGAATTGCTCGGAGTGTGACAAACATTGGCAAAATGCAGATATGAAGGAAGAATCTGAAATCTTTTAGTGCTCTTTCTCTGTGTTACTGGTGTTTCTCTTCCACAAATGACCTCCTAACATCCCTGAAGCTGTTTAGGGGTAAAAGCTCTCACATAAGTAGCTTAATAGACTCCAGCAGTCTTGCTGCATTACTGTAACCAGCTGCTGCTGCTGTTTGTCATGGTTTGAGTTTCACACAGGTTATCCTCTCCTCTGAATGACACCAGTGGCACCAATACACCTCATGAAAATTTCGTGGAGCTGTGTTCAGTGCAATATTTTGTTTTCTTTGTGCGTTTAGCTCAGATATGCTATTAAAAAAAAATTGGATTCCTTTTTTAGGCCTATTCTGTCTATGATGAAGAGATTGGTTACTGTCAAGGCCAATCGTTTCTTGCTGCTGTGCTGCTTTTACATGTAAGTGGTGTGTTTTTTTTTCCTCCAGTTTGTTTAAGCTTAAGACTAAATATTGCTCCAATGTCTGGGACAGACATTGGTAACTCCTGAACAAGTGGGGTCGCAGGCTGCTTATCCACTTAAATGTTGGTCAGTAATAATGTGATTTTAGGCAGAATAGTAAATTGTTTAAAACTAACTGTAGTGTTCATAACAACTCTTGTCTACAGTCAGTGTTCATTTCACTGTGTTTCTGTTTCAGGACCCCTTCCAATTGAAACTCTACAGGCTTGTACTCATGATCACTAGTAGGCATGGAATTTGTGTATCAGACAACTGTAAATGTTTCTGTTACAGGGTTTCAAGGTCAGATTTAAGTTTTTTAGAAGACCTTTCTATTGAAATCGGTCAGAAGTGTGGCTGGTAACCACCATATGTTGTGTATACACAGAAGTAGTGTATTTGTGACATTGATGGGATGTCAGTTTCTTAGTGCTTTGAACATTACACTGCCTTTATTTGGGCTCCTGTATTATGGGCCTTTGTGCTTTTTGGTTTTAGAGGTTATTGAAGGATAAAATAGTTTTTTATTTTGTTAAGAATATCTTTTTTAACTTAATGTTATTGGTAAAAGAGGCCTCATCAGAGTAATATCCTTTAATTGCTTGGGTGTTCAGAAGCCAGGGAGTTTGATGCTTACTGTAAATTAGAAGCAAAAATTTCAGATTTGCTCATGCTTAGGAAATATGAGAGGATTTGGAATCAGTACCAATTATTTATAGACCATTCTTTTTTAAAACAACATCTGCTTTTTCTCAGTGTGTGTATTGCAAGTGGGGCAGTTGCAACTGAACAGTTCCTAAGCCCTGTAGTGTTCTGAGATTTCTTCTCCCCAGCTGTTTCTCAGTGACTGTTGCTACCAGTGAGAACTGAGTATGAAGGCATCTCTGCAGCTTTCAGTAGAAGTCTGGTCTTCGTGGAGCATTTTCCATAATGTTGTAAAGTCAGTGGAGGATGCAGAACATAACATAAACTCAGTTCTTTTTAAACATCAGCCAAATGACTAATCATAAAAACCTTCTAGTTCATTGTAACTGTAAGGTGAAACATTTTCTTGATGACCAATTAATTCTTTATTACTGTACCGAATCAGATCAAGAAGGCTGATACTTCCTGATAGGAGAACTGAAACATACGTGCTTCTGATTTTTATTGTCTTATATCCATTTCTTGAATGTCCATTGCATTAGAGAGACTCGTGGAGAATGGAGAATTCTTTCTTTAACAGTTAGGTATTGCCTGTGGAAATAAAGTATGCAATAAAAAGGCTGAATTTCAAATAGGTTTCTTTGAAATGAGCCTTTGGAGTACAGCTGCTAGGGAATACAGATATTGAAAAGCACTGCAGAAATGGAGTCCATCACTACCAGCCCAGAGCATGTCAGCAAAGTTTTCAGTTTTAACAAACTCCATCTGCAGATTAATAATAGAATACTGAGGTGGGTGTTCTGGCCTTTATAGGAAGAAGCGATTGACCTGAAGTCAGACTTTACTATAGAAATTTAGAAAGCTGAATTTTTGTGTTTGGGAGAAATGTCTAAACACTGACAAGCCATGATGAGTGTATCTTCGGTTTTTGGCAGGGAAGGGATATTGAACTTTCCTAAACCAGTGATGGGTTGTGATAAATTGAGTTTTTGTTAGCAATTACTGCTCTGCCTTATTCATGGCAGCTGAAAAATAAGCGTGAAATGTAATTAATGTCATTTAGAAAGGTAAATATATAGCTAAAAATAAGAGAAAGATCCTGTTTAACATCCTCTGATGATACTGCATTTGTCTTAGTTACGTAGGTGACAGAATTAGGCTGTTGAAAGTCTGTAGGATTCTGGCATGATGTGTAACAAATACGACAAGAAGCTGCGTTGGTCTTGATGTCTGAAAGATGTATTTTTAGTTGGGTGACGGGGAAGTGGTTTATTCCACTGAATGTGAATGAAGTGCAGTTTCCAACAGCAGGCCTCATTTTGTGTATTGGTACTCTTGGCTTCTTTGGAACTGGCTACGAGTGGGTTAAAAAGTGGTAACAGCTTGGCCTTTCTGTATGAGGGAGGAGACCACAGTAAGGGCAGATGGAACTGCTATGAAGGATTTAAATGCTCTGTGATAAATACGCTTTCTTCTCACAGATGCCTGAAGAGCAAGCTTTCAGTGTTCTGGTCAAAATCATGTTTGATTATGGACTCAGGGAACTTTTCAAACAAAATTTTGAAGATTTGCACTGCAAGTTCTATCAGCTGGAGCGCCTCATGCAGGTAGGGGCTCAGACGTGTGTGAAGTGAATGGATCAGGACCTGCAGTTCAAAACAGCAAAACAAGCTGTTTATCTTACAGACAAATAGTGTTTGTAGCCTCTTAGTAAAGAGGAAGCGTGAGGACTGTCCACACTGAAGGCTTTCTGAGAATACAGTGTGCTGAGCAGGGTCCTGTCTGCCACCGCAGGCAGCGCAGTGGGTTTGAGGCCGACACGTCCGACCCCCTGGGGCAGCTCCCCTACTGACTGCCCCAGCAGGGCCTCGCTGCATTCAGCTGCAGTGCCCTTGCAGGGTCAGCACAGCGCTGCCTGGGTTTCTCACTAGGATGCGAGCTCAGGAACTTGGCTCATTGTGCATTATTACAGTGTTCTGAGCATCTGCACTGAGCCTTCAGCATCCTTGGAAGGCTCTTCAGCTGCTCTGTCAGGTATGGGTGGATGCAGAAACCTGCCTTTCTGCACTCACTTTGGTTCTACCCAACTCCTGTTACACTTTGGGATTTCAACTGCTCCTCCAAGATAGTGTAAATTAACTTTCTTTCTTCCTTTCTTTTTCCATTATTATTATTAGGAATACATTCCTGATCTGTATAACCACTTTCTGGACATTAGCCTTGAAGCACACATGTATGCTTCCCAGTGGTTCCTTACACTGTTCACGGCAAAATTCCCTCTCTACATGGTCTTCCATATTATTGACTTACTCTTATGTGAGGTAGGTGTTGTAACTGAAGACTTGCACTACTAATAACTTTTGACCATTTCTCACCATCTTGATTCACATCCTTGTTACCAGCTGTTCTTTCAGAGCTAGGCAAATGATTCTTATTTCTATGTAGAAGTGTTACATTTTTACAGTGGAAGAGTTCTCAGCATTTTAAAGAAATGAAGTAGGAATATACATATATATATATATGATTACAATATCTTATTTCACAGAGTACTGTTTAATGTGGATGTAATTCCATACGGTGCTCGTGGGATGTAAATTAATTTACCAGTGTGGATGAAAGATTCCAATTTTCTTCTGTTACTAAATTGTATTATACACTCTGATAATGTTTGTGGGTTTGTTTTTTTTTTTTGTTTGTTTTGTTTTGTTTTTTTTAGAATGTGGATGCAAAAAGGCCATCCCACGTAGAGTAGCTCAGCTAATTTCTGTGCTGGTGATCTCACAAGCCTGGGGCCCTTTTTCCAGGAGACTTGAAGTCTCTTTATAATTCCCAGCATATATTTAGAAAGCAAAACTATTTACTTCAAGATTTGGAGAAATGCATGTTTTAAACCAGCGTATTTGGTAGCATGTTGGTAAATAGTGTAATTTGATTGGGAGCTCATTAACATATATTAACAATTCGTGTTTTGTACCAAAGCATCCATGAGTTATCTCACGATTTACTTTTACTGGCTGATTAACATTATTCTGCATTCTCCACCAGATCTGTAATTGCTTATGTGGAGTGGTACAGTTTGTCTAAATTTTGGACACTGAAGGGTTTCAGCATTCGTAAATCTCCTGGTCAGTTTTACCCTTTCTCTGTTATCATCTGCTGCTTACTTTGTCCATGTGCCAATGTAATTGAAGGCAGCAGATGGTATCTAGAAAATCAGTTATATTTGTTTAGAAACACATTTTAAATTCACAAATAGTAAACGTGTTCCTAGTGAACACTGAATTTTTTTTATTGCTTTAAAATAAGAGTGGAAAGAAATTCAATGGGAAACAAAAGACAGTCTTGAAATCTGATGAGCAGTGTGCTGTGATTAGGGAAGGCACCCCTCAGGCAGTTGTATGCTACTACTGACTGTAGGGACTGTTACAACTAACTGGGCAGCTTAAGTAACACACCTCTAACAAACAGTGGCAAAGTAGATGATGTGAGACTCTGTGCTAAAGTGAGTTACCTTCTTTTTTATTACAAGAATTATCCCAACTTTTGAATAGCAGAAATTAATATATTCATGTATATATTGCTGCATTTGAGTTCAGTGTCTTCAGAAGTTGCTGTATGAAAATTAAATCATCTTAAGCTGACCAACTAGTCCTTAAAAATAAAGTGCAGCACCTTCATTTTGGAGTTTAGAGCTATTAAGATAGTAAAGCCTGTGCTGAAATATTGGTTTGCCATCAGTAATGGCAATCCAATGAACGTACCTTCCTAACTGAAGTCATTTAATGTAGTACCTGTTTGCACTTGTATCCTTGTTCTCATCCTTGCGGAAACTAGACTAACAACAAAATCCAGCAAGCAGATTAAAAACTAAGATTGCAAATACCAAGAAATTAACTTATTTTGTTATTATTTTTCTCTCTGTAGGGAATAAGTGTTATCTTTAACGTTGCACTGGGATTATTAAAAGTGAGTATCCAACTTTTAACACGGTGCTTTCTGCACCATGGTGCCATAGTGCACACGTAGCAAAAATTAAGATGCCTGTTAATTTTTAATGTTTTTTTAAGCTAGGAGTTTCCTGTATTCCATATGCTGTTGTCTGTCATCCTCAGTGCAGCAGAGTGCTTTTGGGGGATGGGGTGGCAGGGAAATAGAAGGCTGCAGAAATAGAAACAAACGCTATTTACAGAAGGTTAACAAGTAGATAAGTTCTTGGGAGCTTTACAGAACTGCTGTTGCTATATTATCTCTGGGAATTCAGTAATTGTCCAAAATCCGCTTCACAATTGCTGATTTTTCTTTCCTTGTCTGCAGACTACCAAGGATGATTTGTTACTGACTGACTTCGAAGGAGCTTTAAAATTCTTCCGTGTTCAGCTGCCCAAGAGATACCGCTCAGAGGAGAATGCAAAAAAGCTGATGGAGTTAGCCTGTAACATGAAGGTAAAGATGTGGCGATAGCAACTGTGAGCATATCTTCAGTGGGTACAATTTCTGAGGTACACAGTGAAGTTTTTTTAGTTTGGGGCACTGGGAGTTATGTTTGTTCCTCGCTAACCCCTGTGTCTCAAATACAGTCACATGCTCTTTATATCAACACATTAGAACAAACCCTTAAAATGGAATTTCAACCAAATGTTACAAAGTTAGTAGCTTTTGGTCAGATATACTAGTAGGTTCAATTTTTTTTTTTTTCTTCTTCAAACTCACTAGAATAATTCTCCTGTAGCATCAGTGCATAATTACAATCTTCCTCATACATGAACTTCCATGGCACTGTGGGTACTAGCAGTATGCACAGTGGTATTCTCCATAGAACTCAAGCATTTCTTATGACACCAGTGTAGAAATTAGGAAGTAATCAAGAAGCAAGCAAGCTATATAAACATCCAGTCACTGAAGAGTAGCCACAGATCAGACATTCTGTGCATATCTGGTCAAGATGAAGTATAATGACTGCATTTGCCTTTCATGTTTCCAGATAATTTGTTTTTCTTCTCATTCTGCCAAGTCTCCCTTCATTCCCAGTGCTGTGTGAGGTAGTTAAAGCAAACAGTGAAGGCCGTGCACTGCTTCCCTGAGTGCTGAGTGTTTTCAGAGGGTTAAATGGAAGTTTATGGAGAAAATGCAAACTGTGTTACTGGGCTGTGCACAGGTGCTGTGTTGCCTCTGATTGGACATTGCACATAATTGCTTTCTTTGACCTAAAATATAAGTCCTTCGCTGTCAGTAGAAATCTCCAGCTTTGTATCTGGAAGCGCTTTTGAGCAGAAAAGGGCCTGATGTCAAAATAAATCATTTATAGGAAGGGAGAAGTGGCCTAGCTAAGGCATTGTGATTACAACAGCATTCTGCTGAAAAGGAGGTCAGTAAATGATGAGCTCGAGACAGCAGTAGTTTCTTAAAGTCAGTCTTTAGTGTTCTCTGCCCTTGAAATACTGATTTCAGTATTTATTTCTGCCTCCTGTCACCATGGAGGCCCAAAGGCCTTGCTGACTCCTTGAGCATGGATCCTGCTAGGGCTCCAGTATCAAGAACTGGTGACAATAGTAAATGTTCTCATGATCACCTCATTGTTAGTATCCACGGGCAACACTAGTTTAATGCACTCCTGTCTGACTGGCAGTGTGGCTTCCTCTCCTTTCAAAATAACCTTTACATAGCTTGAGATTTGGTGTATGAAACCCAACAGCGCAGTTCAGCAGGAGCAGAGCAGTGAAATAATCTACTGAAGTTACAGGCTGTATTGTAAGTAAGGGGTTAATACTCTGGGCTGCTGATTAAGGATCACTGCTGCAGCTGTAATAGGGCTGGACCCACTCCAGGTACATGGGCTGGCTTCTCTGAAAAGACTCAACTGAATGTTTCTGTGCAGTTCTCACTAGGGGGAGCCTAGCTACCAGTTTTCTGCAGCTCGTTCCGAGTGAGATTGTTAATGACAAGAAACAAACATAAGAGAAACTGAAGCATGTTTTCCACTGTCTGTCATTTATGCATACCAAATTTGTTTCTCAGACAAAATATTTTTTAAGAGGAAAACATTCCCATAACTTCATATTATTTGGTTTATTGAAATAACAATAAGGATTCAGCAGCTTTTATTACTGGTGATTTAATTTGGTGTGTACTGCTTTGCATGTGAAATGCTGTTAGTGGTTTTAGCACATATTGTCACTAAACTCCTGCAGCACATTACACACCCAGTAGCTGACACCAGGGAGAGTGCTGGTAAGGATGCAGTTCTTGTGTGTTCTCTGTTCTCTTGAACACTGCACAAAATACTGAATTTAATCTACGTTTCTTCCCCTTTTTAGAGATGGGAAAACTGCTTTTGCATCTGTAGGTTCTTTTAGAGTAAACACTTCAACATGATGGTAAATGTTACTGCTAAAAAAGCAGCTGAAGAAACCTCAGCATTATGTTAGGTCAGAAATTAAACATGTATGGTGGGTTTCAAGAGATTCAGTTTTGCTAAGCTACTGTAATATTCTGGGTATCAAAGAGCTGTAAGTACCAAGGAGAACTCAGGTAGGATGCTCTTGGGAATCCCCTTCTAACACTTTTCTATATTTCACAAAAGGATAAGAGATAGGGATACTTTTGTGATTATATAGAGTGAAATAGATTTTTTGACCATATCCAAAGGTTTGACATTCAAGAAAAGATTGTTAACTGTGTTTTAGAGAAGATAGGAGTTGCCCAAAGCTCATAGCATAACCCTTTGTGAATTGTGTATCTTTTTATTGATGTTCTGGACAGGAACTAATAGGCTGCTTTAATTTAGATTAGCCAGAAGAAGTTGAAGAAATATGAAAAGGAATATCATACCATGAGAGAGCAGCAAGCTCAGCAGGAGGATCCAATAGAAAGATTCGAGGTAATGCTTACCTACTGTAATCTGATTTAACATGCAGTACCTGCAGGAGTGTTTTTTTTTTTTAAGCTGTTTTGTCTTCTGACAAGTACATGTACACATACATCCACTTACATGTGTTAAGCTGAAGAGTATTATGTAAACTTTAACATCCGTCTATGTGATGGGAATTGTAAGAGAATATAGAGTGGCTTTCCCAGTACATCCACTCTCACGTTTTTCTGGCATGAAAATTTTATTTTCAGCCATTAGGAAATGAGTGTTTGTAGGAACCTCTTGGTAGGATGTTGATGGCAGAGTGCCACTCCTACCACTGCATTCTTCAAAAACATTTCACCATCTCAACTAGTAATAGATGATGTGGGGTTTCTTCTCAAGGCTAATATTTAATTTGCTTTATTTTGTATTTACTATATGGCTAGCAGCTCCTGTCCTCATTGAATTTCATGCAGCTGGAGTTGTCTTTCAGTGTTTGAGATGTAAGCTGGACATTGGCATTCAGGCACAGAGTGCTGTGTTTTATAGACAAACACCTAGCAAAACCTTTTTCTTGACTTTTTTGTCTGCCCTTAGCGTGAGAACCGGCGTCTACAAGAAGCAAACATGAGGCTTGAGCAAGAAAATGATGACCTTGCACACGAACTGGTGACCAGCAAGATTGCTCTGCGGAAAGATTTGGACAATGTAAGATGTTTTTATGCTCTGTAGTAGAGACAAAGTACTAGGGCTAATTTCTAGTGACTCCTCTCATTGTGGGTATCGCAGAGTGTTTTCATACTTTGTAATGTTTAATTTTCAGCTGACGGGGTGATAAATCTTGTTCCTTGTGGAATGTATTTTCATTTGTGTCTTGCCTCTAGGATTAGGAATTGTCTTTGTTTTTTTTATGAGACTACTGGGCTACTTGTAGTCCTGTCAGTACAACAGGTTGATCAGATGCACGTCATCATGATTACGTGGTGTGAAGAAGCACCATTACAGAGTATCTGATATGCTGCAAAATGTGGTACAGTTGATGTGGGTCAGTTAGGATGCTTTCCTCCATGCCCATACTGCAGAATAATGTTATATAGACCTGTGTCAGATACCCACAGCAAACAGGACAGTATCTGAAATATGGAATCTTCTGAAAAGCATTCAGACTGGAGAGAGAAGAGAGGTTCTAAGCTTGGACTTGATTAGTTACTTTCTTGTAACTCTATGTATATTGAACGAAAGTATAGCAGGAGCTAAGTCAAGTCTTCAAATTGTTACAAAAATAATAGCATGGATTCTGTATTTTGTTTTTCTTCAACTGGTGTTCAGATGAGTATGAGCTCAAAGGAGACAGGCTTTTGGTACCTAATAAATTTGAAAGTCTGAGTCTGTCTGTCTCTCAGTGGGATCAGATCCTCAGATACCTATTAGGCAATTTTAGAAAAGGGTTTGGCTTGTTGAAATCTGCCCACATGAACTGATCATCATTGGTTGTTTTCCATATCAACAGAGCACTCAGAAAGAGGTTTCAGATTTGCTTTTTTGTAGTGATTTTTTTAAGCTTGCTCTTCATTCCCTTCATTACATAGTCATGTCTTGGAGATTTTTTTAGGATATACTTTTTCACGTTACATGCAAAGGCACTGGCATCTGTAATGCACCTCATAGGCTGGGCCACATTTAGTCCATCTGCTTGGGGAGATGAGGAAAAAAGTTCAAGTCCTTACGTTTGGTATTCTCATTGTGTACCAAGATAAGGGCGTTTTCGAAATCTGAAAGAAAAATAGCTTTAAAAATCGTGTTGTGCAGGAGTTGACAGGCTTAAAAATGTTTCAGCTTATCTACTTCCAGAGAACACAAGGTTTCCCATGGTCTCCTGGAAACTGGCTGTTGGAAACATACTCCTTGTAAATGGTGATGCTAATGGATGAAGTTGCTTTTAATGAAGTTTGTTTTATGACTTTCAGGTTTGTTATATCTACTGCTCTATAACGTTAAAAATGTGTGAAACATAGAAGTATGTTCCATGCAGGGTTTTCAAAAAGCATTGTTATGTTCACTTCCTATTACCTATGCTTTTTCACTGTGTTGGAGATAGCTCCCAGAAGGCTGTGCAGAATGCCCACTGGTTGCTCTCAGATGGTGGACTGCAGTAAAACAAAACAAAACAAAAAAAAGTACTGCAGAAGTTTTTGTATCTGCTATTAACTGTTGTTTGGGGCTGCTCTAGCCCATATAAACCAGTAGTGCTTTTATTCCTTTAAATAGGTAGCTAAGAGAGGAAAAAAACTAAGTAAAGTCTTTGAGATACACCAGTGGATTTGTAACACTCATGCCTTCAAAGGTGGTAAACGATGTTGGTAGCATTCAGGTTATCCCCCAGGAGGAGATAGGTAGGTTTGATCCTATGTTAGGACTCTGATTAATTCTTCTAATTGGAAGCTGCAATGGTAAGTTTCATTCTACTAGCCAGACGTCCTGAAAGAAAAGTACCAAAGGAGATTGCTTAATACACCTTTTCTAATAATTTCATAGTGTCTCTGAAATCCTGCAGCCTAAGAGATCAAAGTAAAGCATTTGGAAATACAAGAATTTCCTTAATAACCTTTGCACTAGGCCAGAAAATAGGCTTCATTTTTCTGCTATTGCTAGACTCCCATATCCCAGTTTCCTTTAACTTTAAAACAGCTTAAAAACCATGTATAATGAAAAGATGTTCTCTTTGCCTTTGCCATCTGTTTTAAAGGATCAGCAGGACTTTAAGGGACTAAAATTCACTGTTTGATTTTCTTCCTTTGAAGGGAAATGGTACAGCTACTTTCTGAACATTCTATATATCAGTTGAGTTATTGATCTATTTTTATGTTGAATTCATACACCTATTGGGAAGTACTGAATTGCTGTGTATAAGACAGGAAAAGCAGTCTTACTTTGCAAAGCAGCTTATGAACAGCCCAAGATTTTACAGCTATGCACCTTTATTCTTAAAAAAAAAAAAAAAAAAAAAAGTAGAAAGAAAGGATTGTGTGCTTTCTGGTGGGACATCTCTTTTCTTAAAAGAGGAACCTGACACAGTAAAGATGGTATTACATCTGTTGGTAGGCATCATGAAGGAGTTTCTTAATGTTCCAGAAATATTTTTAATGAATTCCGTTTTCATTACAAATTTGAATTGTAGATGTTATTTTTCAGAAAAATAGTTTTCCTAATATTACTTTTATTAGTAACAATGAAGAGACTTCTTTTAATAAGAATGAAAGGACAGTGCTCTTGGCTGTGTCCTACTGGAGTTTCCACCCATGGCTGCCTACCAGCATTCACACAGTAAGCTTCTCTTCAGTGCTGTACTTTGCTCTGTGTTGCAGGCAGAGGAAAAGGCAGATGCTCTGAATAAGGAATTGCTAATGACCAAGCAGAAATTGATTGATGCAGAAGAAGAAAAGAGGCGCCTGGAAGAAGAATCAGCTCAGGTTAGGGGCACTTCTGTCATTTTCAGATTTCTGTGCAGTGCAGATAGGGGAAAAAATGTGACAAGTGTAGGAAGAGCTTAATGTTCTAAGTCCTGCTTGTGCCTCCTCTGTAGTGTAAAGAGCGTCAGCAAAACAGAATTCTTTCCTGTCAGGTGCTTCACAGGATAGTGAATTTTTTACTTGAAATTGTGAAGGCACAGACTGCGCCAGAGATTGCTGCACAAAGAGGCAGGACAGAACTTAAGCTGTCAGTACATTTAATACTTCCTTCTCTAAACTAGTCAATTTTCTAGCAAAGAGAGCCACCCGAAGTCCAGCTTTTCCCTGTTTGCATGTAACTGAGATAGACCTTTGTTCCCTGTAAGTCTTGCAAAAGTCGTGCAAAAGGCACTGAGGTTAAGGAGAAGGAGGAAATACCATATGTTTATTTCTCAGATAGTACAAATATATAAACTTTTTACTTTTTTTTTCTACAGCTGAAGGAAATGTGTCGTAGGGAATTAGATAAAGCTGAGTCAGAGATCAAAAAGAACAGCTCTATAATTGGTGACTACAAACAGGTAAGCACAACTTAATGATTACATGTTCTGCAGTCAAATCGCAGTCTCAGGCATTCTGGGAGATTTGTGTCATTCCTTTGAGGAGACATTTTAGCTATTTTAAGCAGAAAGCTGGCACTTGGTTTTGCTTTATATTTTGCTGAGATCTTGCTGGCCAGCTCTGTTTACTCCTAACATCAGTGTTGATAGATCACCAGTTTCACGGCCTCAGTGACAGCCCAGCATTGTTCATATGGGCTCTTGTATATCTCAATTTTACTTCATTGCGAAAGCTCTTCCATCTTCAGTTCTTCCATCAGATGGTAATTGCATGTAGGAAGAGAGAAAGATGCCTTTTTCATTTTAGAGATTTTACTTTGGAATTCAAGCACCTGATCATCAGGTATCAAAGGAGTAAGCTGATAAATCTCTTTAATGGGAACTTTCAAAATGTTCTTAAGTCACACAGGTCTTGAGGAACTGGCTTAAAACAAACAAACAAACAAAAAAAAAAACAAAATAAAAAGCACTGCTACTTTTGGGGTCGTGGCTGGTGCCTTTATCCCAAAGGACTCGTGCTTTCCCTAACTGTTTTGGATTCCTTTAGCAAGACCAAACTTATGTGACTGCTTCCTATAGACATAGAAGAATATGTATAGAATGACATAACTTAATGTAGTATCCCAGTTTTCCTGATTTTCTCAGAGCCATAAAACTGTCCATGTTAATATTCCTGTAGCATTTATTTATGCTTTAGCATTCATCTGGGATAAAATTTACATTTCTAAATAGTCTGGTACATAACTTTGCTTTTCAGATTTGTTCCCAGCTGAGTGAGAGACTGGAAAAGCAACAAACAGCAAATAAAGCTGAAATTGAAAAAATACGGGTAAGAGATAGAATCAGTCTACAACATTTAAATCTCTAAGCAAACTCATAACAGAAAGCACATAATTAGTCATCGCAAAAATGATGGTTGAAAGAGCATTCCTTCTTGACTTACAGTTTTGGATAGATCATGAGGAGGAGGTCTTGTAGGAGGGATGGATGGTGTTCATCTCTCCCTTGTTATATTGCCTACATTCTCATGCTTGGCAGTAACATGTTTTAATTGTTCAGAGGGGGTCTTATTTTCTTCTGGACGAGATTTTTTGGCTGTCTTTTACATAGCCCATTATCTCAGCCAGTTTTACCAAAAGTACAGCAGTGTTTCTAGAGTCCACAGACCTGGGGGCGGCTGGAGCTCCTGCTTGGCTGCGCTCCCTGGCAGTTCAGATTTTGCAGATCATTAGCAGTCCCTCTCACATTGTGCTGTGCTGCCAGAGCAGAGGCAGGGAAAGGCTGTGGTCAGCACTCTGGTGCAAGCATTCACAATCAGGTATTTGCTCTAGCAAAAAGTGGATGACTGTGAACACTGCCGGGAGTTCTTCAACAAAGAAGGCCGTGTGAAGGTTGCAAGCTCAGCCAAGGATGGTTCAGATGATGACACGGATGAGGAGAAGGAAACGCTGAAAAACCAGCTGAGGGAGATGGAGCTTGAGCTGGCCCAGACCAAACTGCAGCTTGTGGAAGCAGAATGTAAAATACAGGTAATACTTTGGGGGTTCATTCTGTAGTGTATGTGGTGTGTCTGCATTCCTAGAAAAATGTGTTTGTTGTAGAGGGTTTGGAACAGATCCTGTTGGTTGAAACTGCAACTCGCTATTTCCTGTCTGACTTATTTAACCAAACATTGGGTCTGAAACTTAGTGTATGCAGATAAAATAATGCAAATTACATGAACTGTATTTACCAACCAGCTCCTTACAACTTCCAGACATCTGTGTGGCTGCAGTGCAGTATTTACTGATATTCTGCAACTTCTTGGAAGAAATCCAAGTTCTGACAAAGTACTGAATCATGCAATTCTTTATCTCACAATCGACATTAAATGAACAGCTAACATGTGACAAATGTTAGACGTGTTTCTTAAAACATGACTGGAAAGCACTCGAGGTATTTGAGGTATTTATGAAAAATATGACAACGTTGTTCTTTGAGCCCAAAAATGCAATGTCAGTGCTTCTCCCCAGAAACTTAAAAGTTAGTTTGTAGGAAGTCTACTTCCTATGGGAATACCTCCTTCTCAAATAGGGAAGAATTAAAGGCCTTGCATGTACTAAAGGAAGCTGAATGCTTCACTATGGGCAGTGATACGGGCTTGCTTTGGAGTTCGAAGCTTTTTTCTTTTTTTTTCTTTCATTGCCTGTTGTGCTACTTCTAAGTTATGTGAGACTCACTTAACTTCTGTGGTAGCTGAGAAATTGTAGATGTCCTACAGACTTCTTAGTTCAACTCCTGTAATGTTGTGCTGTGAATACATACCAAGTAAAAGAAATCACTTTTCTGTTTGCAGGATTTGGAACACCATTTGGGTCTTGCATTGAATGAAGTACAAGCTGCAAAGAAAACATGGTTCAACAGAACAATAAGCTCTATAAAAACAGTGACTGGAGTCCAAGGAAAAGAGACTTGTTGAAAGTTCTGTCAAACACACCTTCTTAACACAACACCTTTTGTTGCCTTCCTTGGCCAGATGTTTAATTCTGTGACATGAGAGGACCAGAATGTAAATACAATAGAAATACAGCATGTTGGGATTTCAATAGGTCAGTGATAAAAAGGATGGAAACACAAAAATGGCTTTATTGCTAGACATGGGATCTTCATACTACTGATATTTAACAGGTGATGTAGCTAGATTGAAGCTCTTCAGAGAAACACTCCATTCTGCGGTCTGGCTGGAGGCTTTTCACAGACTAGGTACGAGAACTTACCAAACCCTAATTGTTAAGTTTACATATGATAGGTTTTTTTACAGTTATAACCTTTTTTAATATTTTATTTGAAAGGAAAAGTGTCACTAATGGAATTTAAAAAAAAAAAAAGAGGAAAAAAAAAGAAAAACAAAACAAAAAAAAAAAAGAAGAAAAAAAAGACAACTACCAAGAACTACATCAGTGCCAGAAAGCAGTCCCCAGAGGTAGGATATAGAGAGTAGGAGGTGAAGTTTTGTTTTTGAATGGGGATGATTTCAGCATTCCTGTCAGCGCAGCCCCACTTTGTTTTAGTTAGATGCAGCATCCATCTCTGTTTGGCATTTCTTTCTGTTACTAATCAATTCTATGCAACTCTGAGCTTTTTTTTTTTTTTTCTGGCATTTGCCAAACAAATTTGCAACTTGAGGTTCAGGGCCTTGTCTAAATGCTAGACGAGAATAATCAGAATTCTTGGCAAAGTTCCGTTTCACTTCTGTGTCATATTGTTTGATCCACATATCAACAGCGTTAAAATCCCCAGCTAACAAGGACTACTTATGTGGATGGTCTGACATTTAATTGAGTCTTTTTGTTTGTTTTTTTGTCACTTTTGTTTTGTTCTTTCGTTGTTTTTACCCGCCTGTAGCAGGCCTTCTGTGAAGCTCTGAGAAAGCTTCCAGGATTTAGTTTTGCACATAGGTATGAATGGGACAAAGAAACAATAAACTGAGATATATATGAGGCAAAAATCACTGCGTGAGTGTAGCTGCGAGCATCTATAGCTGTCCAACTGGCTTCCCTGGTAACACGTTCAGAGGTTGTGTAGGTCATTTTCCATGCTCGATGCAGTTGCACTAATAGGTGCTAAACATGCTTGGATTGCTTATTCTTTGGATTGTCTGAGTTCTCACCAGAAAGCTGTAGAATGGAGTTTTGCACCTTGTATTTTTTTTTTTTTTTTAATTTATAATGGTTTGTGTTATGCTGAAGTATCTATTGCATCAGTGGATAAATTTCGTGTGCAGTGTGAGTATAAGCTGGTAACAATAAGAGGCACTGGTTTGTATATAAAGATATTTGGTTTATTTTGTATTTCTACCTTTTTCTTGTTTACTGTACTAATGCTAGCTAATGTACTCTGTAACTACAGAATAGAACATGCTATGTCCAAGCTTTTTTTCCTTAACTGCATACATTATCTCTATTGTTTAATACCAAAAACAAAACAAAACTTGTAACTCCATCAATATTAAATGCGTGGACATTGTGGTAGCATAGTTGCAGTGTGTATACTTTATGAATTGAAATATAAACAAGTAAAATTGTATAACTACTTCCTTGTTTCATTTCATTTTAACAAATTCATTAAATATTTTGCAATACAAAACCAATTCTCTTCCTAAAATAGAAGCGTTAGGATCTGCAAGCTTCTGTCAGACCAAAACTATATTTGTGCTGCAAAGGACTTTGCTAAAAAAGACTTCATATTCTTGGTGTTGCCAACATTGCTTTATATAATAAAATGTAGGTTTTGCTTTGAAAAAAGAAACTGCTAAAATGACCTTGTGCAGCTTGAGGCTTGTGACTCAGTATTTCTCAAATATGTCCAATTTAGAACATTTTTTTCCATGACCCTCCAAATTCTGCTTGGATCTGCAAAATAAATGTAGCCTAGCTCTACTTATCATCATCAGTAACATAAAAATTCTGTGGGGTGAAGTGTTGTTCACGTCATCTTCACTAGAATCTTCTAGTCATAGCTGAACTAGGGTTTAGCTGTGCAACTGGATGAATGCACTAATTGGGTCACAGTGCAGATCAGGCTCCCCTAACTGCGTGTGTTCTGCAAAGAGATAACAAGGAGTAAAAATGTATTTTTGTCACCGAAGTGACTAAAGGTGACTCTGAAAGCAGCCCTACTCTGGGAGGCTGTTATCACGCTGTCATTTTTCTACCCATACTTTTGCTGCAAGAGAATGGCATTATGAGGCTGTGTGTAGTTTTTACTGCTTTGTCTTTCACAGACTGGGGTACCTTGGTAATTTCAGCTCTGCAGTTTCTCAATAATTACACCTTTTGGAGAAAGTTTGAAGGCAAACAAAGGAAAGCTGGGAGGGGGAGAAGAAACAACCAAAGCAGTTCATTTGTCCATTTGTCTTTCCCAAAGGGAGTGGGAAACGGTGTGTGGTTTCCACTTTGCCCCAAAAATGTGCTGCTTAAAAAAAGGAAAAGCTGCTTTGTTCCACTAAGTAAACATTACCTCAAAACTGTGTGCTGTGTACACTCATCATTTCAGTGTGGTGGTGGAACAAACGTAATGAAAAGTGAATTGCTTTATAACATTCTTTAAGAAATATTTTGTGGTCAGTTTCCAGTTGTGAATTATTTTAGATATCTTTCTGAAAGACATTACTCACAAGTAAGCATTACCAGCATAATTCAAATCTGACTCCATCTAAGATATCTGCAACTAAGCAAAACAGGTCGTCTGCTGAGAGGCATGTCTTTTGAAGCTCAATTACACGTGAAATACAAGGAAGCAGATCATTTTTAAGATGAGAAAGATGAATTTGCAGATACTCAAGCCTTTGAATGAGCAAGGTGAAAAAAAAAAACCATAAATCACATTGACTCAAAGTTGCTATAGGCAGGAGTATATTACAGATCTGTAAGCAAAGAAGAATGAGTATGTTTGTTAGCATTTTTTGCTGTAATAAGATGTTTAGTTATCTCCTGCAGTTAATTATCTCTCTGTTCACATATGCCTCTCAGCTGGTTTTGTGCAGTGAACTCAAAATGAGTGTCACACTGCCTGCTGAAGCTTATATATGTATTTTTCTGAAGAGCCTGGTGTGCTCTGGCTGCAGCTTACAAATGCTTTGTGCTGGATCGCTGAGGTCCCAGGGCTCTCTGGCACGGTTCCTCTACGGTTACGATCTCCTTTTAGTTTCTGAGATTCTCCTTCTTGGTTGTGCAGGGTCTTCGGATGGAAGCGAATATTCCAGCTCTATCAAAAACTTCACCTTTAAGTGTTGCTGGTAAGTCTTCTTGCAATTTATGTAACCACCTCCTTGACTTTTTTTAGCTGCCCTTCTTATCCGTGGCAGTAATATAAAGTTCCTGTTATCAGGAGGAGGATTTTGTTCCATCTGTTCAGCAGCTTGGCTCGCGCTCATCCAGCCCAACTTTAGAGGCTTCAGAAGGGGCCTTTCTGAAGGGCTTCATGGCACGGCGTGGCTCGGCGTGCTGAGGGCACGGGGCTGTGCTGGGCTGTGCCTGAGCGAGGGGAGTAACGTGCACTGCCTGCCTGGAGGCCCTTAAATAAAGTACTAACAAAAATGAGGCATCAGTTTACACGGTGAGGACTGTTTTCTGATTTAGATTGCCCTCCTTTTTATTGTGCACTACTGTCTTTATTACCTGAAGCCCCTGAGGACTCTGCACACAAAACTCGTTAGGGTTTTACCAGATTTTACAGCTACATGTCCATACTGAGTTGGAGGAATGAGGATTTGGTTTTGCTGCCTTTCTGCACGCTAATGAAGCAGAGCACTAATCGTGTGCTCCTGCACTCCAGGTTTTTGTGAGGCGCGTGGCTGCAGCTCAGCGCTGTGGGAGCAACGCTTGACTGCTGCTAAGGGAGCATGGAGGATTTGTTGCCTGACTGTGTGTAATGTTGACAGTCGAGGGTTTTCTTGCAGTGGCTCTGGGTCTTGCAGAAGACGAGATAAACAGAACTGAGCTGACTTAAAGATTTCACGTACGGCGACTTCCTATGATCAAGCGACGCATTGAGAGACCGCGAGGCCTCGGCCTCGACCGCTGCGAGGAGGGAAGGGCGTGGCGCTCTGCTCCCGCCCAAGGAGCGGGGGCGGTGCCCGCGCGTCGCATAGCGCTTTCTGATAGGTCGATGCGCTGATTGGCGGCAGAAAGCAGCCAGTGAGAGGTGGCGGCTCGTGGCGGAGGGTCGCCTGCGGAGCACTCTGACGGCGCCATCTTGTTTGCAGGAGGCTATGCGGTGAGCCGAGGGGCTGCGAAGGAGGGTGGCAGGCCGGGAAGCAGCTGGGCTCCACCCGTGGGAGGGTGGAGCTGAGGGTTGGTGTACGAGTGCCCGAAGGGTGTGCTCAGAGTTGCTGGGCCAGCCCGGGAGCTGAGGGGAGCAGACGCCTTTGAGCGTGTTTGTTGTACTAGTGAGTCGCATCCCCAAATGGCGCCGGTGGTGTCTGTGGAGCCCCTCAGCAGGCAGCGCTCCGTGAGCCCTCCCTTGTCGTTGCGGCACTAAGTGCTGCAGAACGGAGAGCACCGGTGTGTGGGAAAGCAGCGGAGGCTTTCAAGAAGGTATTAGTTGCTGCGGATTGATAGTATTTTGTGGAGAATATCTATATTTACTGCTATCTTAACTGGTTCTCACATTGCTTTGTCCTTGTGCCTGCCTTCTGCAGACTGTGCTTTGGGCCTCTGGGCCTGAGGAAGGTGGTGGGTCCTGCTCCGGCTGCTGGGAGCCGTGCTTGTGCCAGCATGTCGGGTAGGGTCAGGTTGGCTCCTTTCTTGCACCAGCTGAGAGGTGAAATGAGGAGTGGAAAGCTTGGCGACAGGATGCGAGAACTGATAAAGCACCGTGCACGCAGACTGCTTGATCTGCAGTGTGATGGGCGGCTGCCTGCATGGGGAGACCTGCACAAGGAGAAGCAGCGCCAGCACTCCTGGCTGCCTCCTTCCTGGTAGAGGTTCTGCTGTGCCAGCTGTGTTTGCTGTAAAGGAAGCTGGAATCATGAAAAATGCACTCCTGTCGGTCTTTGAATTGTTGGGGTAATGCTTGTATGGATGAAGCTATTTCTGTGCAGAAGCTAATTTTATGTAGTAGCCTATATGTTTACCATCTAATGCATAAGAATGCATGTACATAGGGTGAAAACTACTGTAAATAGAAATTCTATGATTTCTAACCCGGAGGTAATGGGAGGAGAATGTGATTTATCAGATCTCCTGAGAACCGCAGAAGCAGAGTGCTAACCAATTCTGTGAAATTATTTTTGTTTTTAATGGAGCAATTATATCACAAGATTTGCCCCAAATTGGCATAGATGAAATTACTGCAGATGGTTCTGTAAAAATCCTGGACGATGCGAGACTTCTAAAGAGCAATGTTAAATAACAAGATTTGTAACAGAAATAAGCTTTGTAAAATTATCGTTTAATGCTAAATTAAAAGTTCTCCATACTTGCAGGGTGCTACAATCTGTTTTTACAGAATTCAGCAATTAAGCAATTCAGGCAATGAATGGGATCTGTCAGGAAGCCAAACAGCATTCAGCCAGAGATGCAGATTTCAAGGTAGTGCTTCTGCTTGTGCTGCTTTATCCTTACAGCACGTGTTATTGAATCATATTAATTCTGTATACATCAGAGAAGAGGTAAAGAAAGAAAATTAAAACTCAGGTACTTATGCTGTACTTAGTCTTTTTTTTTTTTTTTTCTTTAGGACACTCAGATCTGTGCTGAGTTTTTGTTTTTCTAATGATTAACCTTACAAGTCCTAAGCCTTAAGCGTTACTGAAAAGCACACTCTACAATGAACGTATTTTCTATCTTAAACTGTTTAGGGTGCAGATTTACAGTGTGATAGAACGGATGTAATGATTAGACTGCACCAAAAGGTCCTTCTCACCTGCTTGTTCCTACTGGCATTCTGGTGACAACACTTGCACCAGGCATACCAATGCTAGCATAAGAGAGGGGGTGAAATTACAGCCTGCCTGATGGCGGGTTGTTACGGAATCGAATCCTCAGTCTGCAGCAGCAGAGACAGTTTTTATGTGTGCTTAGGCTTTTCTTATTCCAGTCAGATTAATGCAAGCATCTTAAGATGATTTTGAAGTTAAGACATTGTGGAGAACTGTTCTTACAAGACTTCTTTTTGCTGTAGATAAGGCTCTTCTGTGAACTACTTAAACTGTAGTGTGTCAGGAGCTTGATGTTCTGTAAGTAGGTGATCCAGGAAAGGTGCTGACAGGTCTTAGCACAAATGCTAGAGGATGTGCTGCTAGAAGGGAGTACCTAAAAAGCACTCTGAGCTAGGTGTATGCTGTTCATGACATAATGCTCCACTCTGAACCAAATGTGGGTTCTTGATACATTTTGTTATTATGTGTTTATAGTTTTCCTTTCATTGGGATGGAAGAAAGAGGAGCATGTTCTGGTGTTCTGGATAGATGTTCTCTTTCAGATGCAGATGCCAGCATCAGAGCATTTTTCTCTCAAATGCAAGTTGTTGTAGGCTGTTAGAATTATGACTGCATCGATTTGAAGCAGTTGATTCTTTTGAAGTGAATAGGGGTTAGTTCAGAACAGCTGTAAAAATGTGTAACACAACGGCCTCACTGATGTTGCTTGGTCCAGTCTGGGGAGTGCTTCGATGAGCCGTGCTACTAGTGAGGTCATGGCTGCCATAGGCTGTGGGAGGGGATCAGGGGCAGAACTGCCAGGGGCAAGGACCAACTGCACTGGAACAGCTGGGCCAGGAAGGTGTGTGTGTGGTGTATTCTGGTGCTTTGTGGAAAATGGCTTTCAGCATGCAGACCCTTTTCAGTAAGTTTTATAGAGCACTGCTTATTTGAATGAATTGCTGAAATCATTAAGCCTGGAGATTTCTGACGAATCTGAGGATATTAGGTGCCCAGCATTAGCAAAGACCTCTCATTTTCTTTTAGTAAATCCAAGATCTACAGTCTGTGAGGTACCTGAAGCAGTTAGCAGGGTAAGATGCTCCATGTTTTTCTCCTATGGGTTTTTGTTCTGGAAGTTGTGTTATGCCCTTGTATGAAAAGGATCTGAAAGGACAAAACAAAATCAGACTGAAGTATATAAAAAATCAATCTATGGGATGTATTTGCAGTACAGTTTGAACTTGGCTCAGAGTACTGATATGTTTTTCTGTTATTGTCTTGCTTTAATAATACTGCTTGAGATAGGCATAGCAAGCTATAGCAGAAGTGTATCATGGTGATTTTTTTTCAGAATGTGATTAAAAAAAACTTTTAAATTTTGCTTATTTAAAAAATTAGGGCAAAACTTTTTTTAATTGCCTTTACTGGTAAGTTGCAGTTGCTGTGATGTGGCCTAAAATTGTTTGCTTTACCATGATCCTGCAGTATGAGCCTTCTCTGTGCAGATGAGTTCTGTACGTGACTATCTCCAGAGGTGTAACAATTCAGAGTACAGTTTGCTTTACAGAAATGAACACTGTTTTTGTTCTGACGTTGCAGATATCTTCCTCGATCGACAGCTTGTATGGCAAATGTATTTTAGAAAGGTTCTATAATGCTTCAGATAGAATCACAGCCACTGTGGACTCTCAGATGCCAGAAGGTGCAGAAGCGATGAGATTTGCAGCCTGCCAGATAGGAAGCAGAAGCCCTCATCATGCAGAGTGTACAGTTGGTGTAAAAGTATGAATACATCAAAGCAGTGTGTTTAAACTCCCTGCTGTGAGCATCTGTTAATGCATAGAGTTGTCTGTGATCCAGGGTGAAGGGTGTCCTTAGAGCCGTGTTGATAGATGAACTTTGGGAGGTGACACTATAGTGACTCTGAGGTTTTCTAATTTGTGAGGCCAGTTTATCCAATAGAATAGGGAAAGAAATAGGAAAGAAAGGAGGAGAAAATTGTGCTGTTTTAAATCAAATTCTGTGCATGAAGAAAAAAGTAGTAAAATACTGAGACCGAGAGCTGTGTCGCTATCAGCTTTCACAGTGTGACCAAAGTGTGTGTTTTTTGCTTTTTTTTTAATCAGTCCTTTTAGAAAGCTGTAGAAAACCATTGTGGTTTTGGCACAGTTCTTGGCTGACAAGAAAAGGAAGTGAATTAATGCCTTCTGTGCCCTGAAGGCTTGTGTTAGTTTAAAGAAGTGGTTTTAGAGTAATTTAATAATGATGCACCAGAGCAAATGGATGGGAAGGAGGAGGAAGAAGGCTGGCTGCTTACAGTGTATGTCTGAGTTCTCTGCCTACCCAGGACATAGAACTGCTGCATAATTCCATTCAGCATGGAGGGGGAAGGATGGTGTTTCTAAGAGAAGATGACTGTGCATTGCCCTGAAGTGTTTTCTGCATGGTATGCTGAAAAGCCTAGTGTGCCAGAGGGGCTGTGGAAGCCTGAGCCAGGCTTCTCTGAATTATGAATGAAGTGGCTGCTGCTAGCACAGACATGAACACAGACTCTAGAGCTGCTGGATGCCTTCAGCATTATGGTAACAGACTGGTTTTAGATTTCAGTAGCTACTCAGCAGCCTTGTCTCTAAGCTCATCTTAATGTCTCCAGAAGAGTTGGGACAGAGTGGGGCCCGTAGTGGTGTGAGTTGGAAGCTTTGAATTTTGTCCAGTTTTCCTTCATTTGTTCTTAGTGAGATCTATTTAAGACACTTGAATTCAGTTTATTTGTCAATTTTCATTTGAACACAGTTTTTTTTTTCCTCATCTGAGTGTTTTCTGTTGTTTTGTTATTTTTGCAGGGAGGGTGTTGTCTTTAACTGTATAATTCTTACTTTGTTCCAGTAATAAAAGAAGTCAGTCGGTAGTCCTAGACAACCCTGAACAGTTCCTGTGCCCTTGTGTACATAGCAAGCAAGGTGAGAGAATAAGCAGAGTGTAAGATATCCTGAGATAGCTGCTCAGACATGCAGCCCAGTCTTAGCAGCCCAATTCCTTTGGGCTTCTGTCAGGTGTTGTAAACAGATGCCTCCTGTAAGGAACTCAGCTATTTACAGACAAAACTTACAGAACAAGGGATTGGAATAATGGCAGAGAATCAGCTCTATTTTCTGTACAGGGCAGCATGAGCTGCGAGGGACAGATCTTTATTTTTTACTCTGTGCTGTCACTGACATGGTTTATGGAGCGTGGTGCTTTCTGCCTTCAAGTGCAAAGCTGTTAATTAAGAACCACCACCCCACAGTCAGATACAGCACAGCCGGGGCTCTGCCCTCACTTGTACTGAGATGAGTGAATGAGATCTGCCAGC